AACCGCTGATGGGCCCCATTTCAACACCAAAAGTTGCAATTTTTGCACCATATAATTCTATAATAATTTCTATTACAAGGAGGCAGGAGCTAAGAAATGGACAGTCAGACTTTAATTTATCATACATTGTACGTCACAACAACTATTAAGAGTCAAGAAGAGGCAAGTCCATGTAGATTTTCCGAGAAAAATATCAAGAATAAATTAAGCTATTTATATAATAAGGGTGAGATTAAAATTCAACAAGTAGATTAATGCACAAAAACACTTGTTCAAACAAATCTCTATCTTGGTCAAGATTTCTTTTTCAAGACAAAATTGAGTGCGTCCAATTTTTCCAATTAATGCTCTCTTTTTACTACTACCACCAAGCTCACCAAGAAACAGTTTTTGCGCACATTAACTCAATTAAGTCAACAACTCATAAACTCTATTAAAATGAACATTTATAATAGGGTTATCAGCCGTAAGTCTCTAGATTTCACTTTGGAAAAGTTGTGATTGAGGTACCTTTCTACTAAATCACTCCCATGCCACTTAAAATGATTTCATGTCGTGTTGGACAAAACAATTGTGATGACTAATCGATGGAATTTTATTTTTTGTTGATCAAAAAAAGGGAATTTGGTGGTGCACTTTATGTCCTCTAGTCCCGTCAGCTATAGCAGCAATCTTGAGTACCACTGAGTACGTGAAAATAGCCTGAAGCAATCTCCCATCGACCATCCAATCGGTTTTCACTCCCTCCACCTATGGTGTGGCTCACAGGAGCCCACTTAATTGAAATTGTCCCACAGGGCTGGGCAACCTTTTACGCAAATGGAGATTCAAACCCTAGAAAGATAGGTAGAGGAGACCTAACAAAGGCATCTTTACCACTACACCACGACCGTCAATGGTCGATGCAATTATTTGATTACTCAAATAAAATTAAATGAACAACACAAAAAAAATAAAAACAAGGAAAAAGAAAAAGGAAAAAAGACTCAATTTAATCTTAAAGCTAGTTTATCAATTTCGCAAGTGCACAATTCGTCACAAGTAATAAAATAATAAGTCAGAGTATTGTCCCACGAGGATTGAGTTTAATTATAGGCCGAAATTGAAATTGTTAATGGTGAAAATTATTTGAATAACCCATAAAAAAATAAGACTATTCAAAGTAAATAAAACATAATAAATTGGCAATAAAAATTTAGCTACTCGGGGTTTTGATTCACCATAACTAATCCTATATGAGTTTCCTAACTAAATTAATTATATCCATTCCTTATTATTGTGAGTTTTCTTAATATATTCATTAATCCTTCTCGAACATAAACAAAATATTTCAACAAAGTATATTTCCTATATGTCTATAAAAATTCTAATCCTGTCAAGATTATTAAGCACAATGAAAAACTTAGAGATAATCTCCATAACATTTAAACCTAAATATTGGACTAGTTTGCAGAAATATGTTACATATTGGAAGATCGATCTTATGTGTTTCCTTTTTACATGTTCTTATTACTTTTTTTCTTTTTTGGTTAGATGATCACTTGGATTGTTTAGTATCTTTCGTAATTAATTAGTAGAGGATGAGAGAGCTCATTTGTCTACATTTCTTCATACTACTTGAGCACAATTTTTGACTGCATTGACACTACCCACATGCATATCTAGATTCGATATTCATGTTATATTGACGAACTAATTAGTTCCTATACCCAATTCATTGCAATTAGTTACGCGTATATTTTTACAATCTTAACAACTACGCCCTCGGTTCAGTCCACTACGTACATCTATACGTACACGCGGGCAAGAATTTTTATTTTAATTTATTTTTTTATTTTCCATTCTTTCCTTTTGCTCAGGACATGCATGGGTCAGACTTCAACTTCTTTTATTATTCAGAAAAGTACGTGGTCTAACTTATTTGTAGTCATAGTGACCTCTAACTGTGTCACATTGACTAATATTGGTCTTTGTAGTTTGTTCGAGACTTAAAGCCACATCTCTTTCCTGTCTCTATCTCTTATCTATATTCCATGAAAAATCTAACTTAGCGTTCATTGCCAAAGCATTGCACTGGGCCGTCTCCGAATTTTTGGCAAAATATGAATCAGCATCATTCAACAATTAATTTGGCAATTGTTTATAATACACATGTATCCTTCTGCCAAACCCCAACGGTAAATCTCAGACCAAAACCCCTCGCCATAACAATTTTTATTTTTTTAACCATCCGATTTTCGTACTGTGAAGACGATAATTCCGCGCAGTACTACTTCTAACAACTATTAAGTGACAAAAGAGGCAAATCCATGTAGATTTTTGGGAAAAATACCAAGAATAAATTAAGTTATTTATATAAGAAGGGTGAGATTAAAATTCAACAAGTAGATTAATGCACAAAAGGACTCGTTCAAACAAAACATCAAATGTCTTACGAGAGTTGATATTCTCTCTCTTACAAATCTCTATCTTGGTCAAGAATTCTTTTCAAGACAAAATTGAGTGCGTCCAATTAATGCTCTCTCTTCACTACTACCACCAAGCTCACCAAGAAACAGTTTTTTTGGCGCACATTAACTCAAGTAAGTCACAACTCATATGTCATTTTAGTCTCCGAATTATGCGCAATATGTCATTTTAGTCTCTAAATTATGTGCATTATGTCATTTTAGTCTCTAAATTTTTAACTATAATGTATAATTACTCCATAAATTTTTAACTTTTTGACCATTTTAGTCCCTACACACTAAAATTGATGTTGGATTTTAGAAATTTCATATAAATCATCACGTCCAAACGAAAATTACTAAAACTTTCACAAAAATAGTTATATCAACTAAGTATTCTCTCCACTTGTATTATAAATCATTGAAAACTAGAACAATTTACACTTATTGTAATTATTTCTTTAAAACTTTCAGTTAACGTGATTATATTTGAGAATTTTTCAGAAATCATTTGGCAATTTGAATGTGCATGGACCAAAATGGTCAAAAATCAAAAGTTTAAGAAGTATTTTTTTTAAAATTAAAAATGGGATATTTACATTTTCATACCCTATATTTTAAGTTAATTTGAAAAGCATACTTTTAGTTTTTCATTTCATCAAATTTTTACTTTTAGATTTGATTTAATACACAAATTGGTACCTTTTCTTAGTCAACATTCAATTTTCACATCTAAATTATCAAAAATACCCTCAGATAAAGAAAATTGAGAAAAATAAAATACTTTAAAAAACTTGAAAAAAAACCTAAAAAAAGCTTTTCAGAGAATGGATCTTTATATTCAACTTTATCTAATAAGTTTTTCTTTTTTTTTTTTAAAGAAAAAAAAAACACAACCCAAAAACCAATTTGATGAATCATGATTTTACTAAGCTTTGAGAGACAGAGTTATAGTGCAACAGATCCTATGCTCGTTGTTTTGGTTTCGCTAATTCATCTCATTTTTGCTTAGCTCCGGTGCTCATTTCACTGTAAAAAATGTTATCAATTGAAGGAACAAAATTCCTTCAGTTAGATCAGACCAGTATTAGCTTCTAAATTCCTATAATCGACTCCATAAATTATTAAGTCGATTTGAGAGTTCACTGTACGTCTATCCTTGCCATTTGCCAAAGAAAATTTTAAAAAAAGAAAAATAAAAAAGCGAGAGAGAAAGAGAGAAGGCTTGGAGTAAGAAAAGGAAGTTAATGTTAGAAACTGATGGAAATGTTACAATGGTGTTGAGTTGTCTAATTTATGAGTTAGACATTTTTAATTGAGGAGGCACAATTTGATTGGGGGTTAGCATATAAGGGGGGGCATAGTTCCCTTTTTAGCATGTAGGCCCCATAAAATATGTAAATAATATAACCAGATTCCCGGAGCCAAAGTTTGTGCAACGTCTTAGTTAATGTATCATCTCTTACCGAAACATCCTGGAGGTATAATACCATTCCACCCAAGTATCTTTGGTTAATGTATCATCTTACTTTTTTTTTTTTTCCCAACAATAATTAGTTAATAATGCTACGTTACTTCGAGGAATCCCCCAGTGCAGAGAATACGTTGGAAGACTCATAATACAAGTCAAATATTAGTTAAGAAAGACACTACCCAGTCTCTCTCATTTTGGAAAATTCAAACTAAATTTTGCAGCGAGTCTTGGTCAACACATCTTATCTCATTTTATTAGAAAATTGTGATTCTGTTAGCAGCTATCATCAAGAGAGCTCTGGTCATCAGCATTGATCAAAGTTAACCCAAATATCTCCATGAGAGCTTAGGTTAGCCTTCACTTATGGAATTACAGTTTTTCTTCAAATCCCTCTTCGCGGCCACCTTCATCTTGATCACCACTTTCCCGTCGTCTCGCTGCAAAGAAAACGAGAACTTCTCGGCGTGCACTCAGCCGTACGAGTGCGGCGACATAAAAAACCTTTATTTCCCGTTCTGGGGAGATGGCAGACCCGAAATCTGCGGCCACCCTGGCTTCAACCTAAGTTGCGTTAACAATGAATACCCTGTTATACACATCCAAGGCCTAGATTACCGCCTACTCAATGTCAGCCGAGAAATTAACACGATGACCCTCGCGAGGTTGGATCTCTGGGACAATCCTTGTTCACCAGATACCAGCAAAAACACCACTCTTGATGATATAGTCGCCGTCAATTACCCTCCAACTGTTGTAAACCTCACTTTAATCTACAACTGCACAAAGCCAGAGGAGTCACTTGGACAATATTTCCCAAATAACTTTTCTTGTCCCAAGGACGACGACCGGATTTCTTACTACGTACGTAATGAATCACAGCTTCAGGATTTGGAAACAGAGGGGCTGATCCGCGATCGTCGAGGCGGTGTCATTCAAGTTCCGGTTTTCAGGATTGCCCTCGATGAGATTGAGAGATCTGCAGCTGATGGAGTGCATAGCGTTTTGATAAAAGGTTTTGACGTAAATTACATGGAATTCCCACTCTGCAGCGAATGCGAGTGGTCAAGTGGGAGATGCGGGTCTAATAACTCAAACGGAATGGTTACATGCTATTGCTCTGGCGGAAGAGAGTACTTATATGTGTGTCCCCATAGTTCTGGTACGCATTTTTTTTCCCCTCTTTGATTTTCTTTTTTCTTTTTCATTGTTTTCAATCAAAACAACCTCACTTTAAGAATCAATCAGTACTTGGTAGTTAGGAGGAATAGAAATTCAGTTTAATTACCTAGTTAGAAAAAGCGTTTTTGCCATTTTGCCAATATATCTGTTTTCTGTGTGTTGTATTTGGCCGAAACAGAAGGGCAATTTCAGTTGCGTAGCTAGGTAAATGAATTCCCAACAAGTGAGTTTCAATACTTCAAACTATGGTTTTCGCTATTTAAAAAAAAAAAAAAAAAAAAAAACACTATGGTTTTGACTATTTGTAAGTAAGGTCGCGCGGTGAAAAACTCGTTTTAACTAATTAATATATTTAACCAATATCTTCGGAGTAAGTTTTTCTTCTGGAGAGTAACTAATTAATATATTCTTCTTTATCACCTTTATTATTTTTTACATTAACTGTTTGACATGTTAACTATACTATTTCATTTTCTATTTTAATAATAATATTCAAACAATAAATACAAAAAGTGAAAAAGAGAATCACTGTAATAGTGACGGTAGTATCTCTCATCTTTAGTCAGAATCAAATGAACCCATCCTGGTATATGATCTTAAATATGTGTAACTGCCGAGTGCATTATGATCTCCTATCCTAGCTATTCCATTGAATTTGGCAACGGAGTTTCGGGTGTGAAGTGTGAACTCTCTCGTTGACCAGAGAGAATGGTCACAAACCCAGACGCGCCTGATCATACAATTTTCTTGACTTTTGATTTTTAAAAGCACCCTCGGGACAGCCTGGACCAGAAGTAGGTCCCACAATCTTAAGTGTCTTAAGTAGTTTTGTAACAGTTGGACAAGCTATCAAGCAGTGGCTGAGCTCCTTAGGACAATTTCCCGTTGGACCTGTCAACGGTCCAAATAAAATAGCTAGGATTATTAATCCACAGACTTTAACCAATTGTTGGTTTAACTCTAACAGCTAGGATTATTAGAGTTAAACCAACAATTAGATAGATTATCATATTTTTTCTCTAATGCACATTTTTTCCATGCTAGAGTGTATGAGAAAAAAAATATCAACACTAGGATTTTTGAAAAAATCATGTTTTAAATTAAAATGATCAGAAAAGTTCCCTAAGTTTTAAATTAAAAGATATCTTTTTTTTTTTTTTTTTTTCACTGAGGTTGGACTTTATATATTGCATAAAATTACTGGAAGTGTGACATTTTCTTTTCTACACACATGTAACGGTTTTATCATTTATTTTTCATTTTTCTAAATGGAGATTAAAACATCGTGAAAATCTCACTCGCGCTCTCTTTCTCACACTCCCTCTCTCACCCACTCTTTCTCTCTCTTCTCTCTCTCATCCTCTATCTCTGGCCTCCTTCGCTCATGGACTTTGACACGATGAGTCACGCGGAGCAACGACTATCTGATCTCGCAAATGACGATGATGGGAGCATAGCAGCGTTGCCGGTGTGCCCCCATCATCGCTGGAGAAGCTAACGAGAGATATCGTAGGGTGGTTATGCGTGCATATGGATTTTAGAGTTTGAATGGGAGATGTTGGTAAATGCAAAATTTACATGGTAAATGTTTCATTTACCAACAAATAGATTATGTTCAATTTGATAAGTGGAGGATTTACGTGGTAAATGATGAATTTACTAGTTAAATAGATGTTTTGATGTTGTAAACAGTAAATTATTTTCTTCTAAATTGACAATTTACATAGTAAATTCATTATTAACCTTGTAAAAGCTTCGTTTATCAACATATGAAATTCTATTTAATTTACTAAATGGCGGATTTACGTGGTAAATGATAGATTTACCAATCAGCCAGAGGTTATGATATTGTAAACAATAAGTTACTTTATCGTAAATTGTCAATTTACATAGTAAAATTACCATTCTATGAAATAAAGGAATTGGGTTTATATGGTAAATGAAGAATTTTCCAAGTAAACGCAACATTTACCCCATTCACTCTCTCTCGTCTTCTCCCATTCTGTCTCCCATTCAAAGTTGTTCAAATCATGGAAGTTTTAGCCAAAGAGAGTAACATTTGATTGCGATCTTCATAGCTGCAGAAACTTGAAGAAAGATACCAAAATTTTCTTGTGACTTTTTGGAGTCTTTTTTGAACCGCAGATGCTTGTCAATGATCATACCATTTTCTAGTGGCTAATATTTTTTAACGTCCTTAGGCTACTTAGGTTGGACCCATTATATCTTTGCTTTTGCTTGAACCAGTCTTTTGTTTTTTCTTTCTCACCTCCTTTTCAAACTAAATCGTAAATTCAAATATAAAAACAAAGCTAAAACCAAGTCAAGAGGCTTCTTTATCATGCTACACCTACCACACACAATTTTCCTTTCTATGTTCTTTCTTTCAAGTCCATGCATTTCTTCTCCTATGTTTCCCTCTTCCTTTTTCTTGTCTTTCATCCAAATGCACATCCCCAAACTCTATAAGCCTTTCCATATATGCATCCTTGTAATCATTTTAAGCACATTTGCTATACCAACTCTTTCTATAGATGAAAAGTTCGCGGCTTGCGCACCTCAAACCTGTGGAAATGGACAGGAAATAAGTAATCCTTTATGGCTTTCTCATCAACAAGAATCCTTTTGTGGATATCCGAACTTTAAGATCATTGTAGTCATGAAAACCCGGTTCTAAGAATTTCGAATAATCATCAAGGAAATATTTTACTCAAACCATTCTTTTCTAGTGGCCAATGCTCCTGTTTACCATGAGAAATTCTCAGTTCCTCAAAACAAATTTTGCCTTGATGGAACACCATTCAGCTTTAGATCTGATCCCGTCAGTTTTTCCTTCTTTTACAATTGTACTTCTGAACCCTCTGAAAAAATCTTTCCGTATCGAGTCAACTGTGTTAGCAATGAAACCCACTATTCTGATTTTCTAATTTTTACTTAATTATGATTCGCATCCAATTATTTTTCCTTGTAGGCTTTTTTTATGTGTCAGCTAGATTCATTTAACCTTGTTTGTCTTGCTTCATCCAACTGTTTTAAACAAAATCTTCTATTGACTTGTATAGTCAGTTTAGAGTATTATACAGAAGTACAAACTTAAAGCAAATAAAATACATTTTCCATGATATGAGCCAATTCCTTCAATACCAAATGAATTTTCACAAATCATTATTTGTAGCATGCTTTCGTTCCTGTGCTCCATGAAATTAGATTTTGCTAACATATAGCTAAAATGAGTGAGTGTATTAATTATTTAACAGTTAAAAATTCTATAAGTTGTTAAAAAAATTACCGAGTTGCTGTATCATTCATGAGAAACAATCAAACTGTTGCTATCTTTGAATCAATAAGATCTAATGCTTCCTGTTCTGTTTTCTAGTATAAAAGTTGAGATTTTTGTTGCGGACGCTTTTGGGCAATTGTTTCCTAATTTTTCCGAATATCCTTTTAAATATCATATTGATGTTATTGGTGCTCTAAGGGTTGTGCCTTTTCTGATTTCTTTTGCAGGGAGGGATTGGAAACTCAAGACTGGCATAGGTAATATACTAATTCTTTTCATTTGAACAGTAACCCCGTCATAAACAGTAAAACTGGCGTACAATTCCTGAATAAATTTAGCACTGATATCACAGGTATTGTTTCGGGAGGAAGTGCCTTACTGCTCATTGGTATCATAACATGCTGGTGTAGATGTTCCAAATCCAAAAAATCCTTGACAAAGAAGACACAGAATGATCAGGAACCTGAAGCGTTTATTAGAAGCTATGGACATCTAACTGCAAAAAGATATAGTTTCTTTGAAGTCGAGAAGATGACAAAATCATTCAAGGATAAGTTAGGGCAAGGAGGTTTTGGTGAAGTGTACAAAGGAAAGCTACTTGATGGACGTCATGTGGCTGTAAAAATCCTGAATGCATCCAAAGGGAATGGAGAAGAGTTTATCAATGAAGTAGCAAGCATTAGTAGAACTTCTCACGTGAATATTGTCACTCTTTTGGGGTTTTGCCTAGATGGTCGCAAAAGAGCCCTCATCTACGAATTTATGCCCAATGGATCACTAGAGAAGTTCACGTACAAAGACAATCCTTCGCAAACCACTACACGCTTGGAATGGGAAAAACAGCTACAGATTTGTATTGGAATAGCTCGGGGGCTGGAGTATTTACACCGAGGCTGCAACACGAAAATTTTACATCTCGACATAAAACCACATAACATTCTCTTGGATGAAGACCTTTGTCCAAAGATTGCCGATTTTGGTCTGGCTAAACTTTGCCCAAGAAATGAAAGTATCATATCAATGGCAGGTACCAGGGGGACAATAGGTTACATTGCTCCAGAAGTGTTCAGTAGAAACTTTGGAGGTGTTTCTTCGAAGTCTGATGTTTACAGTTATGGCATGATGATTCTTGAGGTGGTTGGCGGAAGAAAGAATATCAAAGTTGGATTGAGCGATACAAGCGAAATATATTTTCCCGATTGGATTTATAAACATCTCAAACAAGGTAGCAATCTACAGTTGTGGCGGGACATGACGAGTGAGGAAAATGAGATTGCAAGAAAGATGATCTTGGTCGGGTTGTGGTGCATCCAAACGAAGTCATCAGATAGGCCAAGCATGACTAAAGTGATTGAAATGCTGGAAGGAAGTGTAGAAGCCTTGCATCTTCCACCGAACCCTTCCTTGTTTGCTCCAAAATCACCGGAAAGATTGCCACTTGAGCCGTTCCCAGAATCTTCTACTACATCAACTCTATGGTAAGCATTATTGATATGATAGAGAATCAAATAGTTCATGACGTTTGCATACTTTGAGGACAGAGCCCTTCTTTTTTTTTTCTTTTTTTTTTTTTTTTGTGTGTGTAAGTTTAAGGCTGTCATTTCAAGTAGAAACCAGCATAATATTTGAGGACGTGTTCTACTATAACTGAGGTCTCTTATAAGCAATAGATTGAAGTTCTGATAACAAAGACAATTTAGAGTCTACTTACAAGGCATCACTCCTTTTGATATTAAATAATATAAAACAGAAAATTCATAGTTAAGTTGTACTGTTGAGGTTATTTATAGAAAAAGAATGAGTCAGAAGTTAGACTCAAGCTTTAGGTCATATGTTTAACTTAACTCACAACATATCTCTCACGATACAAATGCTTCCCTCCCTAAAAGGAAACTTGAAGCTCAATACTATGGTTCTCTGCTGCTGGTCTAGCAATCCGTTTTGGAAATTACTATTGTTTTAATGTTACCAAAATTTATCCTATCAACGGAATCTTATGAATCGGACCAAGCCGACGACCGTAAGAATATGGGGACGGTCCATGAGTATAGTGTTTGGAACATGTAGTGGTTGCAAGCTGTGACAAAGATGACTGTATCTGTAAACAATTAATCAGAAAATGGTACCCAAATCGGAACTCTGAGCTCATATATTAATTGAAAAAATATGAGGTTTATGGTCTATGTCTCTATGCTATAATTTATTGGGACAAGAGAAATTCATGCTTTTTATATGTAAAAAGAGATGGCTAAAGAAAAGACATTACAATGGAAATTTTCATTCTTATTCATGTTTTTGCAAGTATTTGTCTGATGTGCATTGAACTTGTCATGCGAGGCAAATAACAGCCGATTCTGCAAAAAAATTCTCGAGTTTGCATCCTTTGTTAGAATATTTTTATGTGGACTTTCATAATCATAATAATTCACTCTGTAATTAATTAAAACATCTTATGGACAACTGTTTTAATGTGAATTAACACATGTATGTATGTGAAATATCGGTCCATTATAAGATGGACATTTGTTTTATTAACTCGCTTGAGGCATATAAACTCCCTCTATCTCATAATATTTGGTCAGCCCATTGGGCCAAATACCCTCTTTGAATGAATATTGAAAAATGCCCTTAGGCCTGTTTGGTTTATATAGGCAGCCACCCTTTATTTGGATGATGCATGGGGCATTTGTGGGGTGGTGGCCGAATGGTGGAGAGAGAGGGAGGAGTTCAAGAACCTCTTGCCCTTCTTTTTCCGTTTGCAGCTCCTCCACTCACTTCCGATCGGCCCATTGGCGGATTCCAGCGACCATGGATGACGCCTTCTGCTGTCCACCAAAGTAGAGATATACCTAAATCCCAAATAAGAGTTTTATGGCATTTTTGGATTTTTGGCTAGATTATTATTTTTGATCTTATTTGGATTGTGTTTAGATCATTAAAATCTAGCAAATGGTATCAGAGCCTATCTTATTGGATTTAAGACTGTAGGTTTTTTTTTTTCTTGAGCTTGTTGTGCACGTTCGTGCACTTCATGGGGTTTTGCTATTTATGAGTTTTTGAGTGAAATTGATGTTTAAAAACCAAAGAGAATGAAATTTGGAACAAAACCCATCTAAAAACATCAAAAATGGACAGCCGGAACTCACTTTTCCGGATGGTCGGGTCACGGATCCGATCAGACCCGATCTGCCAAGTTTCAGAGGTTGGGAAAGATTGAAACGACATGTCATTTTTCCATCCATGTGATATACGACATGTCATTTGCAAAGTTCACTGGGGCTGTCTCGATAGTGAAACGACATGTCGTTTCCATATGCCCCAAAACAACATGTCGTTTGCAAGGCAGATTGGGGCTTTCCTGCTAGTGACGACATGTCGTTTCCCACATTCTCCAAAACGACATGTCTTCTGCGGATAAAAAAAAGCCAAAATTTAAATCCATTTTAGCTCAAGGAAATGTTGTTTTGAGGTTACTCACTTCGAGTATAGCTTATAGGTGATGATTTCCTTGAGTTTCGTGGGTCGATTTGGCCGGATTTTATGTTTCAAAGTTTGAAAATGGCCGGTTTTGGGTTTTAATTTTCGCTCATGATTTTGAGGGTTTTAGGTCATTTTGATGTTACGGATCAAAAGAGGGTGAAATTTAGAGAAAAACCCCTTTTGAATCGTCAAAAATGGAGTTCCGGATGCCAAGATATGGCCGTGTCAGGTTGCGGGTCCGTTCGGGTCATTTTTGACCCGGCTGGAGGTCAAGGACGACAAAAATGACAGTGTGTTTTGATTTTGAGTTAAAAATGACATGTCGTTTGATAAGTTAAGTTTTGTGTTGTTTTGACATAAACGACGTCATTTTTCTGTTTGAGCAAAACGGTGTCGTTTCTAGGGACCAAAAAAAAAAAGTTTTGACCAAACTTTGACCGGTCCGTACAAACACATCTGAAGTTCGTTTTGACCACCGTTTTTGCCGTTGCGCTCCGTTTTTCATTTCCTACCTAATTAAATAATTTATTTTGGGTTTGGGTCACCGTAAAATCATGTTTTTAATATTTTAATATTATTAATTTTATATTTTTATGGGTGGCTAATTCTCACAATTTTCAAACAAATTTTTCTTGGGCATTTCGTATACAATTTGTTTGATGATTAATG